ATATAATAATGATCTTAGTAAATATAAATAATTGATTAATTGGTCGTAAAATACTTACGATTCTGCCCAACGCGTATAAACAGAGAGTGACTTGAGGGATGTTACGTCTTTCAAAGAGATCCGCGGTTTGGAAAATTTCTTCTTGTGGAACACCATAGTTCTTGATCGCTGCTTGGAATCTATTGATAAACAGAATATGTTATAATTATATAAAGATGAAGAGAGTATTGGAATAGTTTGCTCCCCCTCACCTTTGAATATTTTCCATAAGTTGAAAATTGGTGCCTTTAGTTTGAATTTTCTTGACCGATCCGGGTGCCAGTTTGTTAATTAAATTGCAAAGTATCACACCGTCTTTCAAAATGTCCTCGTAGTTTCCTGGAGGGAGTTTCTCGCCCAACACTGCTGAGATCCATTCCAAAACTTCAGCTTCTTGTTCCTTGTTGCGAGCCTAAACAAACAAGTATAACATAATTATACATATAAAAATTAGCTTTTTATATAGATGTGTGAGAGAAGGTATTTTTTATCTTATTATTTTTTTTATCTTGTTGCAATAATTTATTCTGGAATGCATCTTTACATCCACCATGTGCATTCAAACATTTTAAGCGTTTTCTGGATGACTTAAAAATGGCTGTATCAAAAATAGATCATACGCAACGGTGTAGAATTACCCGCGGAAAGTCCAACATCGAAAATAAAATACGGCATCTCTTGGCTTTTACGAAAACTGGCAAAGCAATATTAAACTATTGGACACCTGTTTCATGGGGCCGTGTGAATTTACGTTTATAATGAGTCGCGTCGCAATTCATATATCACATGTATTGTTTTCTGAATGGTCCGATGTGTGAGAAAATTTTTCCCGTTGAAAAAAATATAACATTTACTCGCGATTTATAAGCGTTAAAATTTTGCATGATGCAATAAGAAATAATAGTTAGAAACATACTTGTTTTTGTAAACCTGTAGATGATAGTACTTGCATTTTAACCGGATATAATTATACCGGAATATAATTTATGAATGTAAAATATTTCACGGAAACAGATAATGAGGGCCTTTCGCGCTTTTAGAATTTCTTAATTCGATTTATGGCTGAAACAGCTGACTGGCGCAATTGAATCTGGCATCCTTTATTCGAAACTATAAATCAGCATTTATAGCAATATTAAACTACAGCTGCGGACTCGAAGTCGCGCGATAAATACCATCGGCTAAGCAATTGCTTTGCGAAATTTGCAATTCGCTCAATCATGAGATATTTTGGGATGGGTGATGTGTTACTTGTATGCCGCCGATATACAATGGACTTGTGCAATTCGTAATAACACCGCACGCGATCGCGGTTTCGGGAACAGCGCAGCTGCTCGAATACATCACGGCACGTTGATTTAGCTAAGATGAACTGCTTTGAATAACAAGCACAGGCTCTAATTGCTTCTAAAGACTCTAACTGAGCGTATTATTTATACGATATATTATATGTGCCACACGATTCACTCACAAGCGTGCAGTAAATGCACGTTTAATGTAATTATTTTTAGTATTACGATTTAGTGAGACAATGTCATGTTACATTCGACCTAACAAAGTATTAATGCCGTCAGATTCTCAGATTAAAAATTATGAATTATTTAGAATTTGTGAAATTGGAACTAAAATGTCAAATAGGCATTAAGCGATAAAGATATATTATTTTTTAAATTAAAACTTTTTCAAATTTTTTATACATTAACGAAATAAATATCACGCAAATCATATCCAAAACGTAAAAAATTGGCAAAAAGTTTCTATTTCGTGATTTCGACCATAAAATCGATAGATAATTTTTCGAATTCACTGCATCAAGCAAAGTCCTTGACTAATTGTACGTAAGAATTTCAGACTTCTTATCTGCGAAGTGTCAGACTGGCCGAGGCAACGTGTTCTTCATCGCATCCACTCGGGGTGGTATTTTAAGCTTCATTTTCAAGGGGAGCAATAGAGCTTCCGTTCAGATGAAAGCGGCCTCGCTGCTTCCGAGGACGTTTTGCAAACGTGACGCGCGACGTCATAGTCGCTCACTAAATTTAAAGTTAAATTGGGTGGGTCCGTGCGATTCGCAACTTCAGTGAATTGGCTGGCGACAGATCAAGCTGCGCACCTGTGCCGAAGACACATTTCGGCATATCCGTCCGCATGAATTGGATATTATAATTGAGCGTAGCGTGCCGCGTAAACCGAGATTCAACAAATTTTCCAAGGTTCCACAAATTTATGTATTCACTTACGGCAGACGTAAATATGATATAAAACAAAGTTGAGATCAAAATTAAGCGATCAAATTAATAAACAAATTATAACAATACATTTAATTAATAATAAAGAAAGAAAGAAAAACTACATAAATATTTAAATTTGCAAATATTTTGATCAATAGCCGCTGTTTCAAGTCAATATAAATACGCGCGATGCAACTTGTTAAAGTTTCAACTGTGTAAAAAATAAGTGGACATAATTGATACATTAACAAGGTGGTTTTGAGCTATTAATGCAACATTTTCAAAAAATTTATATAATATACAATAGTTATCAATAAATAAAATAATAATACAATTTCTTTTTAGTCAGACAGTCACTAAATTTTTACCAAACTGCACATAAGACCACACCCAAATTTACTTTACGTCACTTAACAACTGTTGCTTTATCCGAAACTCATCGTTCGCCGATATTTTCTAAATTTGTTTCGGTTCTATGGCTTCTTGGGATAACGTCTAAAAGTCTGTGTTGCATAACGTTATTTACGTTAGGATATAAATACACCGGATGTAGAGAGAAGAAAGACATACATCAAAAGAGAATACTGACGTAAAGCGATGTATCAGAATGATGGATTAAATCATAACTATAAATATTACAGAAAGCATACGGGAAAATTTCTCGGGTTATCAATTATATTAAATAACGATATTGCTATAGCTCACACACACACAGTAATAAACATTTCTATTAAATTATCATGATATATTTGACATACTTTTAAATTTTTTATCTGCTTTTGTAAATAATATTGCAGAATATTAACATTAACTGTCACTTATTTTCGCATGAATAAAAATATGGAAGCTCTTTGTGACATTCGCATTTTATATTATGTCAATAAATTATGCGTTATATACATAAAAAATATACTAAAATATGTTCTCCACTAGAAACGTCACTATCCGAAATTGGATCACGCCTAAAAAACTGCAGAATAAAAAATAACAATATCTTGCTTGCGAAAAAAAACATACCGGCATTTTGTTGCTATGCTGTTTTCTCTAATAAACGATGATCGTTTTTCTGGATAATGTGTGACTTGACTTTGAAACTTTGATGATGCCGAGTAGAAACTAAATCGGATGCAGCACGTCGCGACGCTATATGGCGTCATCCCCTCCGCTGTATCCTTCCTGCCGATATTCAAGCAACGAGTGCTTTTGGCTCGGTGCCCAGTCTTTTGGGTGGGTATTCCCACACCCCCGCTCGTAACCAGATCTTGACACGCGGAGGCCCTAGTTACAGGACGCTGCGTGGCCCTAAATTAGATTATAATTCGCATTCAGATGATCGCTGGAAAACCACCTGGCATTATCTACGCAATACTTGACATCGTATTTTATATACAGAAATCAGAAACGAAGCGAATATAAAATAACAACATGAGAGAAAATTTTGGTAATAATAAAGCTAAAAAACAGCGATAAATAAAGTCTGAAATTAGTAATATTTAATTTATAATGCAATTTTATCTAATGCTTGCTACATTTAATTTATTTAAAATGACTTAAATTTTAACAAGAAATTTTTTATTTGACATATTAGCCAGAAGATTGCACTGACATATAACTGCGCGATGTCTGATGTCGCAATCTATTTTTAGTATGCATATACATACGACGTGCTTTACGCAAATCTAACTTTAAATGTTCGATTTTAGCACATTTGAGATTAAATTGATAAACATTCTAAAATACACTTAGTTCATTAGTTCAATGACCTTTCTGTCACAACTCGTAACTAATATTTAATTTAAGTAACACGTTAACCGAGGGATTCATTTCAAGCTTATCGCACGATTTTATTTTTAAAGATATATAGCTATTGTTATTTTCTATCTAAATTTGTAATCATCTATAATACGAGTTGTATAATATGAGTCGTATTACGAGTTTTATAATACGAGTTGATTAATTAATTATTATATTAGTTATTTACTTTTGTTGATTAAGTTCTTCATTCATTTGCACATACAGATCTTCATACTCTTTTAATCTATTAATATAGCTTTCAAATTTTATTTTTTATTCCTCTCCCTTTCTCTTTCTTCTTTCTGTTGTCATGCGTGCATTATACTGATGCAAAAAAAACTCGTAAAGTTGCGAAATGGAAAAGTTCGAACAAGTGGGTGTATTTTGCACAAAATTATGGTTTAACGTGTGTGGACATTCGCCAGATGAAAACGCCGATACGTAAACGTCGTAAATTTCTGGACTTTAGCCACTTCGAAGGGTGAGGCCACCGCCGAGTTTAGATTTCATCAATCGTTGCTGTTTCCAAGTTTATCGTAACACAACAGATCTGTGTAGACGTCTGGAAAGATTTCATGATGTGTTTGTCCGTAAAATGCGAATTACGCAATAAAATAAAACGATTTTGTTAATAGATGACGTTATTGTCAATTCCTTCATAAAATATTGTAATCTAGTGACACATTCTAGCTATTTACACATATTTATAATTTAAAAACTCTTCTATATTGACGTAACAAATATGCAATACAGTTAACACTTGAGAAAAATTGGATGATATAAATTGAATTATTTTTTATTATTTACTTATTTAAAATTAAAAAAATATACATTAGGAATTAATATTAAATTGTTCTATAATTATTAAAATTATTGTGTACTTTGTATTGAATTTATTTTCTGCATTTGTGTGTGCATAATATGGGAATATATATTCACTGCTAATTATTGAAGACCATGCTAATTCTACAATGCAAAGTAAAACTCCGTATCAGAATTGCAAATAATTGTATATGGTAGTATTTATTAATGTAATTATATTGTTATATTTGTAACGTAGCTTTTTCTTTGTAAAGAAAGTTTTTTTGTTTCAGTTATGAATGTATAATTGTACAAGTCAACGATTTATAACTCATAATTATTTTTTACTAAATCTAAAATGATAATTAATAATTGTATTTAAACTTGGATTATGTGGAAAATATAAGAATATTTATTATTTTAACAATTATTTTATATAATTACATTTTTATCATGTAGATGAAATAATACAAAAGCAATAGTTTCTCATACCTTTCTTAATGTCGCTATTAAAAACTATACTGTCGTTGAATTCAACGTAGTATTTTATAAAAAATTAGTTTTTAGTACAAAATATTTCAAAAAGTTATATCATAATAGCATTATATTGAAGAGAACGCAGTGGTGAGAAATAACGATGTTGAAATATTGGCGGCATGGCGTGTGCGAACGCGCGTCTTTGAGCGCGCACTTCTTACCGTCATGCTTCCCTATTCAGATATATTTTCTTGCAAATACTCGATCAGAGTGTCATTTAAATTATTCATTAATAATAATACATTTTATTTGTACTGAATAAACGAGTGTGTTTACTGCGCTGCCTGTTACCTCGCATTATTACGACTGGCTCTTAGTTCATGAAGCTGCCGCTACGTGGAGTTCCCGTACAAAGCTTTCTCGGTGTTAAGATTTTTCTTTGGGGCTATGAATACCGAGCTAGCGAATGCTCTCATCAGCTTTGCGCAGAGGCAATATCGTAACCAATGAGGTTCTGCCGAGGTGCGATTATTGCTAGTTGAAAACTTTTACCAATACCCCGCCATGACGATGTGAAATACCATCGGCTACGGCAATTTTTGAAAGTTTCTGCGGAAACTGCTAATCAAGTTTAAAACAAAATCTTTGAAGAGCAATAGTCTAAGAAGAATTCTACTGTCGTCTTGTGATCTAAATTAATTGAAAGGAGGAACAACTCTGTTATTTTCTTCTGGGGTATTTTTATCTACGCATAAAGTATAGAGACACGTCACTTTGTCTTTAGCTGAAATTAGATATCTTTGAAAAAAATATAAAATAAATATTTATACATTTTCCTGTTTGATTGCCAAATGTCACTGAGATTATTTTTTTTCTAGCAGTTCTTTTTAAAATATTTGAAGTTATTCCTCCTCAATTAATTAGACACGAGATAAAAGTAGAATTTTTCTTCGACTATGTTTGAGACGAATACACATTTCCTGAAGATTCTGTTTTAAATTCGATTATCAGTTTCCGTAGAAACTTTCAAAAATTGCCTTAGCCGATGGTATTTCACATCGTCATGGCGGGGTATTGGTAAAAGTTTTCAACTAGCAATAATCGCACCTCGGCAGAACCTCATTGGTTACGATATTGCCACTGCGCAAAGCTGATGAGACCATCGTTAGCTCGATATTTAGTAGACGTACAGAGAAATTTTAACACCGAGAAAGTTTTCTACGTATACTCCACATAGCGGTGGTTTCATGTAGTTGGATAGTTTGTATCATCTGTGACAATATTCGAAAGTAAAAATTTTTAGTGTAACATATGTTTCAAAATGTGAAGTTCCTTCTTTTAAATATAAATTTTTATTTAATTGCAGGTTGCTGGCAAGCGCGAAGCGAGTCAGGAAGCTGAAGCTCAACAATGGATCGAGACAGTAATCGGGGAAAGATTTCCACCAGGTATGTTTCTAAAATAAAAAAAATATTTAGATCAATGTCGATTTTCATGTGAAGACAAAATCTCTATATATTTATGTTCTAATATATACTTCTATGTATTTATTTTATAATATATATTTTCTATCAATTGAAAAAATGTTTGTATATAAAATCTTAAATATGTGGAAGATATATTGAAATCTTTCAGATTTAATAATTTTTACATCTTAATTCACAAAAAAATCTCTATGTACATTATTTTATTTACCATATTTACAATTTATTAATATTTTAAGAATTAAATAAATATATGAGAGAGATTTCTATTTAATGTATTATATATACTCTTTCATATGCAACAAACTAATTAGATTATTCAAAAAATATTTTTATTATTAATTCAGTAATATTAATTTATGTTTATATAAAGAGCATATATACAGAGCATGCGAGGGAGTGATTAAACAATTGACTTATCGCTCTTTTAAAGTATTCCAAAAATTAATAGTATTTAAAATAATTTTTGATTAATGTGAATATTATTCAAGTTGCATTTTTGGCTAAAAAGTAATTATAAACATTTATTGTTAGTCTTTCTTACGTAAAAGCCGTGTCCATAATACTACTATGAATACTTATGAAGTCCTGTTCCGTGGAGGTGGTGTGTTAGAAAACTTATCGACGTTTTCATCCCCATTGGGGCGACGCTAAAGGGGTGGAAGCGTTGTTATCTAACTAGATCGCATAATTGCCGGATACAAATGTCAGGCCGCGTGACGTCGTAAAGGTTAAGCTTCGTCGAGGTCAGTTCCTCCATATAGAACATCGTATGACCTAAATTGTTTCGCGACAAGTGTACATAATGCCAAGCAATAATTGTCTTAAATATCTACGATAACTATACAGTATACTCCATATCATTATGTACTAACATTTCTATTTACATTTGATATATTATTGTTTTATAAGGTTATCAAAACAATTTGAAGAAATAAATATTTTTTGTATAAATATAAATACAATTTATATTTAGAATTTATTTATTTATATTTACGCGAAAAATGTCTATATTTTAAACAATTATTAGTTATATTTATAATTTGAATATCTTCTTAATTTATGCACATACGTGTAAAACTACGTACAAGCAGCAACATTTTTTATAAAATTATGCAAGTAAGAGTTTTGTGTGCACACAATGTTAGGGGCTTACTTTGAAATCGGGTCGATAATTTTTAGGGGATTACTGAACTCCACCTGAAGCATTAGGGGTAGTTCTGCCTCCTGTCGCGCTATACTGGCCTGGCAAAACGCGCGCTTTGTTACGTCATTGCGGACCACCCTATCGAGCTTGTCGCGACGGACAACCCTCGACTCGGCATGCACCCCTAATGCGACAAACACGCCAGGCGTCGACGCAATCGACGTTGCTCCACGTACGATTGCGCAGCGTTGTTCTTTCCACTCGTTTTCCTACGTACAAATGCCCCAAGGCTTAGAATCTAATTATAACTTAAAACCTCGCAAGATTTTACCACAAATTTGATAATTTATTAATTATTACGCGTTATTCTGCAGTCTTTGACAAATTTAATCAATCTTTTATATTCGAGTTTTTCGATTCTTGTTGCTACAATCAGTCGCGAGAGCTCGTCAGACAAATATATCAGCTGACTGAAAATATGAATCTCATTTTCGACGTTTTCGTTCACTCAGATTGATTGGGGAGAAAGGGACTTGAAACGTTGTTGATAACGTTCATTACAACAAGTGTTCAGATATAACGAGCCTCCACCTATGACTGTCATCCTGGTTGTGCCGAGGACATGATGGAGGTGGCCAAACGACGAAACCACCCCCACTCGAACACATGATTAATCCCCCACTAGGAACCTTCGGTATTTACGACACCATTATTAAGTCTCCTCGGCCTGCGAGAAAGCTCTCTGGAGCGAGCGACACAGCCTGGTGGCTGCGAATTTTAAGCTCACTTATCGAAATTTTATGCGTATATATAAATTAAATTTTCTTTAATTCGCATATTTTTTTATTATTTCTATATTATATTTCTTCATTATATTAAATTGTATTAAATCTTAATCTTTTCTGAGGTAAACAGACTCTTTGCATCAACTTATTTGCTATGTACTAATACTAATTCAGTTGTCAAATATTGAAAAATGCAGTTGCAACATATTGACAAAAGTCGAAGTTAAACTTATACATTTTATGTAAACTCGCAGGGTTTGTAGCAAGAGCACAAAGCGATGTAAAAGTTAATAATTCCACATCCCAGAATCGAAAAGGGTTAAGGAAATAATGTCTTACTATTTCATCTTCTTCCTGCTACTCTGATAATCTGAAAACGCGTTCGGTATTCGAGTTCATCTCCAACGAATGTATCTAGGGATGGTCTAGATTACAATGGGCGACGCGAACGTAGAGCGCATTCGAGCTCCGCGCGGGGATGCGAGCCGGATAGTCGAAGCTTTTGATGTTATTGACTCGTTTAAAATTGAACTTAAACGGCCGCGGTTCAATTACGTCCTCATCGCGTCCTGCGCATTCCCGACCTACGCCAGACACTGGTGTCCTGGCTGCCCGCGGTAGCGGGAAATTTGATGGGAATTCCCACGTATCCCGCGGGACTTCCAAATACGGATGGTAGCCTGCTCCCGGAAGCTCGCGAGGCATGCTTGGCACGATCCTTGTCTGACAGGTTTCGATCGAGAAATACTGCATTAACGTCTTTATGTCGTAGCTCATCTTGAATAATTGAACACGTATCTCGAATTAGCTCGAATTACTCTTCAACTTTAATTTAGAACATCGAGTATTTTATCGATGGTAGCATATTGTGTGGAAGGTTTACATTTATATACCTGCCCCTAATTAGTTTAATCTAATTAAACGCAAACAATTCGCGAAATTCTTGTCACCTTGTTAAAACGATATAATATTTATATCGATGTTTTCGTAATAACATAATGATAACAAATAATGGTAAATAGCAGAGACACACTCCATTTCGCACGTTTAATCATTACAAATTAATTATTAAATTTATGTCAATTGGCATTAATAAAATTTATATTGCGGAAATAATCACGGTAATTAGAAATGAGCATGTTTCGATGTTTGTTGTGAGAATTTCACATATCGATTTTAATTCGAGCGGCATTAAGCATCTCATTCAATTTACTTATCATTAATGACATACTTTTATGGATAAAAGAATATATTTCGAAAAAGTGGTTACATCAGCCGATAAAAAACTTCTTAACAGATATTTTCATTGGAAACGCTAGACGTTAGAGCTGATAGTTGACGGCAAGTATTGATTTACCGTCATCTGTTCATCATGTTACGTCGTAGGGACGCTGGCGTACCAGGGCCGCATACAGCACTCCGGATGATCGTGCCTGGTACTGCTAGTTACATGTCAGTTCCCTCCTTCTTTCATTTTACACGTGCTTCTTTATTTTTTCGCGTATAATTACTGCACACTGTGGTGCGCACTTTAGCAAAACCAAATACACAGTAAATGAAAACGCTACTTCGATAAACAGCTTTATACACATTTTTATTATAAAATCTCTTCCGAATTTTGTATTAATTTAAATGATTTAATAATGATTTAAAGGTCAGTTCGGGAAACATGGTACACTTTTCATACTGACAAAATTGTATGCAAGTTGCACATACGATATAATTTCTTTGATTATATCGTACCGCATTTGTGCACAAATGAAAATTATACACATGACTGGGCGGCATAAACACATTATTTTAAACTCGATTTATTTAGAACTGCTGTCTGCTGAATTGTGCTTCATTTTCATATAACACTCCAATTCAATATTTTTTGTTCGAATAATTTCAAGATAATTCGTATGAATATGAGTGCTGCTTAGCGCATCGTCGAAAATGCGCGCGATACTTTTGCGAAACAGAAGAAATGTCAGTCATCTGTCCGTCACGGTGCCGCAAGTCGCTTGAGTGCACCAGGGCATCAGCAGACGTTTGAGGGATTTATAGGGTGTCCCGCCAACATGTCGCCAGCGGGTCGATTCGCTAAATTGCGACTCTTTGAGTTGAATTTCCCTCATTCATGCAGAAGTCTTCCGCCTGTTCGTCATTCTCTCGGCACCGGGCACGTTCATTGAGCGTTATCGGGCACGCGTTCCGCCGATATGTCGACGGCCAGTCATATAACGTAGCGTGACGTCACGAAGGCTCGCATCTACTAGGGTAGTAACGCCGAGCGGTGGATGAATTTATGGGGGCGGTTACATTGTTCCATCCGCGCGGAGGTCCCTGGTAAGCTCCTCTCGCGTGCGTCATGAGGGTCCTCCCGTATCCCATCGAGGTGTAAGAAGAATTTCTTCGATACAAAAGAAATCGTTCGCGACGCCGCGATGAACGGCCGATCACTCGAGGATGGGGCGTGAGTGTCAGTTGTCCGTCAAAAGATCGTCAATGACGTCATTCCGAGACGAGCCTACCAGGATTACAGCCCCGAGCTAGATTTACGAGCGTCGCGCGACCAACAGGTGGTTGCGCTTCGTTATATGTAGCAACGTGAGCGCATGTGCGCTGGGAAATAAACGAATGTGCGTTAATGATTAATAGTTATTTGCAAGTTTTTCTCATTACAAGATGATGATGTTCATGATTGATATATTTAACGGAGCGACGACTGATGTTGTACATTAACATATCTCTGTGTAGTCGTAGCAGATATGGTATTGCGATTCTAAGATAAGAGAAATTTCAACTGAACGTTTTGCATTTGCTTACTTTAACTCGTCTTAAAAATATTTTAGTCATTGAAAAGTAGTTTCTTTCATGTCTTATATTAATTTTCGCTCAACTTGCTCTTCAATACATTCAATTCGTTATTATATATTTTGATTTCTTGCAAGAATTCCGTATAAGAAATAATTTATTTGAAGAAGCATGAGAAACGCTTCAAATCGTACTTCACATTTTTTACATAAATTTTTAAAATTACTTGATGCATTTAAATAAATTAAATAAATAAATCGTTGACAAATTCAGAGTACATTATTTTACAATGACAATGAATTTAGTACTGGAAACGAGAGAAAAGCAGAGCGGGAGTCTCTTGGATTCTGCGTACAACGACGTTACGTTCCCGCGAGACCTGTTGCCACGTGCGGTCGTAAATTCAAGCGCAGGATGTTGTCCTGGTGAAAACCGTGCCTGTGACGTCTTTATGACATGAGTCTGACATTTAATCGATACGACGGCGACGCAAGCGCGTTCGTTTGTCTTTTCCTCTCGGACGTTCGTCCCGAATAATCTGACACTTATTAGCAAAATAATTGCTAACAATGCAATGAGTAATGCGAGAAGTATAATTTGCGCACAGTATAAATCACGAAAAAAGAGGATTATTATTATATATATACGAATTAAGTTTCACAATTAATTAATTTTATCTCTTTCTCATTTTGGAATAAAATACACATTAAATAGTGATTAAAGAACTTTGCAAGCGCCTTTGGAAGTTGATAGCTTTATTAATGGCAACACTAATATGTGTGTGTCCACTATTTTACTAGGCATATTACACGCGTTTCGTAGAAATCATAAATATGTTTCGTCAGTAATGAGCACGAATTATATATATAAATTGCAACGTTGGACGGTAAGGTTTTAATTACCAGATGCTGATGACTGATGTTATCAGTATCTGAAAATCATCATTGCATTACCATCTTTCATATAAAGCGGCCGCTCGTCACTATTCGCATTTGCATAATGTCCTTAATGTAAGACCTCTCTCGGTATTATTTTGACGCGCGGCTTGAAACGTAATTTATCATCGGCAGCGTAAAATCATCGAATCGCAGCATCCGCGAGCGATAACGGAGCGCATTGGAGGTAAATAATCGATTTCACGTCAAATTGTCCAAACATGACGACTATGACGTGTCAACGTAACAGGATAGTATCATTCGCGGGAATAGTTCCGATCCGCCGATACATATTGTTGCGTTCGGGATTTTTTCCCGAAGATAGCAGGAAGACGCACGGCGTCTGAAAAAGACCAGGCCAGCATCACGCGCGGCCGTCCGCCGACGGGCGAAAGAAACGGCCGAAGACAACGTCGAGACCGCGGCGACGGTCGCGCGAAGGCGCACTATTGATTTTCTGTCATCTTCTCGGGTTTACGACATCTCACCGCGTTTCGACACTACCAGGAACCTATCAGCATGTCACGCTTGTTTATCCCGGACAGCCGGCCCGCCAATCCGCCCCGTATTTGTTTGTCGAAGAGGATACCAAGCGGATGTTGCCTGGATAGCGTGGAAAAGCGGAAGCGTCACGCAGTATGAAATTGATCCTGTCTAGAAGGATAGAAATATTCTATCTGCTCGTGTGAAACGAAATTCTGCAATTTCTTCTTGTTTAAAAGTGTTTAATCTACGTAGATTATTCTAAAATTCAGGTTTATTAAAAAAATGAGACAAAAAAATATGTATATATGTGTATATATTTAATTTAAAAAATATATTGAAAGAACAAAAACACAAGTAATACATTTTCTATAAGGTGTGAGAAATATATTTTTGTTAAAACGTTCGTAAAATGATAATGGAATTTAATTAATTCAATTAATTGTTTCTGTAAGATGTATATTTATATTTGTTATTTAACTTCTAAGACTATAAAACTTATATTTTATAATAACAATGCTGTTTTAAATTAGAATTATGCTTTAAAGTTGATGCTCGTGTGTTGTTCGGGAAAATAATCATGCATTACGTAATAATAAAATTATCTATAGGCAATACTTAAAAATTATCATGCACGATTATCTTGCGAAACATAGTTTCATTAGACGCACAACGCATTTTTAAGATAAAATGTTTTATTTGACCGCAATTTACTGTTAATTAGATTATTGTGTTCTAAATTATATCGTTATATTTTTAGACATCACTATCAACTGTTACTATTCGTTTCATGTTCACTTAACTTGTGAGAAGACTGTGGGAATCCCCAGGGATAAAATCTTCGAAGAAAGCGAAAGGGATTCCAGTAGGGAAACGAAATGGGAAATTTGGGGGAAACAGGAACGCATCCCGCGGAAACGAAACGTAGACGATGGCATGTAATACATCCCTGATACCAGCTGAACTATTTGCGTTGCACAAAACGAGCAACAAGTCTCGTTTTTGATCAGTTTTCTCTTAATTATACTAGAAACGCAAAAATCTTAATTAACTTGGGGAAATCGTAATTTAAAAAATATTTCACCGGCATGAAAAATAATAATGTATATCTGAAGTTGTGTGCGAAAACAAATTTGGGAGAGTAGTACTTGATAGTGACCCGTCATTAATTAGCGGAATAATTAGCTGATCGGGATTGCAGTGGGCCATCCAAAACCAATCGCCTGTCGATGGCTCGTCAATCGAGAATTCAAGCGTGCGACCAGACGCGTACTAGGCGAACAGATTTCGGGGTAGGCGTTTAGCACGATCCCCACCAATTCAAAACCACGTGACGCGTCGTCCTTGCAGGATCAGGCTAGTAGTCTTTTAGGCAGTTGGCACGTGTCCTCTCGTCCGAAAATCTCTCCCTTTTATCATGCCTGAGCTTGCGGAATCTGATATACAGCTTTCGAGTTTTAAAACTCATTTCTTATTGCAGGTGCAGCGTAGTTTTGAGCTTTTTTATATTATTTTTTATATTATTTTTATCGCGTATATAAATATAGATTCATAAGTACCACTCGATTAGAAATCAAGGTAATAATGTTTGTTACTACTTTCAGTAGAATTTTTTTTTTTATCGTAAATACGCTAGATATTTAAGTTTAAAAATAAAACATGTGTGATATCAAAGTAAAAGTATAAAAAATTCTTCTCTATGTTTATATTCTCGTGTAAATTTGTATACACCACGGACTTTACTATCTGACGTATCACGAGGATTATAATAATGCTGCCGTACTTTGTAAAATAAAATTCTAGCAACTTCGTACACGCTTGATAAAATTATTTTAATCTACGTACTTATCAGATTATTTCTGTTCTGTTTTGTATGGCTCAACACTTTTTTAAACAAATTAAGAAGAGATTCTAAAAATTCGTTGCTCGTTAAGTTACGGTTTCGTTACAGCTTATTGTCTGAACTGTGACGTTGAGTATCGAGCATTGTTCACTTCAATTCCGTGAAAAATCGAGCGCTCTTAAATTTGACAAAATCAAGCTTCGTAATTCGATGTTAAAAGAATTTTATATCGAAAACTTTGTTAAAATTTAGAATATAAGTCACGTAATACGTAATTATGCAGTGAAAACCGAACGGTGGGAAAATGTATTAGTGGATTAATATAACCAATAAGGGTGGGGGAGAGGGCGATTATCGGAAAACCCGCGTGGGAGTTATGCCAACTGTTGCTTCGAGCCGCGTCGAGACGCCGCGCGTCGATACAATTTGCCGCGGCGATGGCGGCTGCGGCGGCGGCGGCGGCGGCAGCGTCGCGCGCCGATAGATTGGATACATCGATACACCGGTTGTATCGCTGACGTGAGGGGGGGCGGAGAGGGGAGGGAGGCAACGACAAAAAGCGCAATGACAGCGCGCGACGGGCGAACGCACGAGCTCTTGCAATGGGCTGCGTCCCTAGGAATCCGAGACGCGTTGTGTCTTTCGTTTGGCGACGGGCTCGCGTCGCGGCGTAAGTCCCGGCCGTCGCGTCGCCGCCACCGGGGAAGACGGCAACGGCGGCGGCGGCGACGACGTCGGCGGCGGCGGCGTCGCGTCGGCCGACGAAAGGGAGCAAAAAGTGCGCACGCCTGCAAGACGCGACCGGCCTTTCCTGATTCTTCGTTCGACGTGACAAAAAATGCCATGCCCCCTTGGCTTGCCTCTTGGCATAATGGGGCGCCATGAGCGAGCGCTGGTTGCACACGCCTAGTCTCTCGCGGTTATTATTTCGCGGTGAATCCGTCCTCCCCGGCGGAGGGAGGGCGAACGGATGGCGGGAGCGAACAGAAGGGATGGGAAAGGGATGGGTGGGTTGGCATCGCGGAGTATTGAGCGAAAAAATGCCCGATGGTAGGGGAGCACCCGCGGGTTCGGCATCGATAATTCCGCATACTGAATTCCGTGAAAAACTAAAGGTCGCACAGCTATCGCGCAAGCCCCAGCCTCATCGAAACCAACCGCAGCTTTTCGGCATCGGGCGCGGGAGGGGTGGATGTCGCTTCTGCGATCCTGATGCCGCGGCGATCATCAACATTCTTTTCACTATCGAGCCGCTCTCCCTTTCTCTCGGGGCTTTCTCTATATAAATGCGATCAATCAGCGCCAATCACACTCTTTCGTGACAAAATATAAATAAAATGCCTCGGGCTTTCAGGGTCTTCCCCCCATAATTTTACAAGTGATCTTCCTTGAAGTTCTGAATGAAATACATCAGCTTCACTTTAGCATCTACGATTACTTTCATACGTGTGATGCGAGACAATATTTTGAGTTGATAATTTTTATTGTATTTAAAACATATATCGCTTTATACTTAATATATATATATTTTCCACTCAAAAAATAGCAAAATTGTATTTAATATTAAAATAACAATGTACGTTTATGTATTTTTTACAGGACTGAGTTATGAAGATGCCCTGAGAGACGGCCTTATCTTCTGCAAGCTCATGAATAAATTGCAGCCTGGTTTAATTTCCAAGATCAACACTTCTGGTGGAGATTACAAGATGATGGATAATCTTAATCAGTGAGTATCACATCATTATATACAAGAATGAGTCGAAAAGTTTCTACAAAGTTTTGTTATGAAAAAGAACATGTATTTATTATAAAATTTCAAATAGGTTTTTTGTCTACATAATCATGCAGACTGAACATAACTATGTAGAACTTTGGTGAAGGATGTAGTGAGGCACTTTTTTAATGATAACGAGTTTACAGCTATAACGACCAGCTTTTACAATTTTCCAATCAACAGATTTTTTTCTCTTCAGCTGCTGGATAGCTGAAAATGTGAAACACAGTAATTATGTAGAAAAATGAGTTATTGTTTGAATTTTATTTAATGCTTTAATAATGACCTTTTTGAAACTCACTGACTCACTTTGACATTTCAAATATTATATACATTTAAATGTGAAAAATTGTTAAAAAAACAAATAAATTAAAGCACAAAAATGTATTAATAGTGAAATAAAATTGCATTTTTCGCTAAATTTCTCACGAATAATGTGAATGTGAGAGGGTCTTCGGTCCTTCGCTATCTTTCAGTTAACTTTAATATAAGATGTTTTACACTGGTAACGCACAAGATAGATAATTCGCGGCGAGAGTTTGTCCGCCTACCTCATCGCCCCTCCATCGGCGATGCGGCTTCTACAAGTTTATGCTTCCCTAATCAACCGTCGACTTTACGCAATCGACAGTGTTTTGCATCAATTTCTCGAGTATCGACAAAGTATCGTGGGGTATCGACAACGCCGATCAACGACCGTCATATCACGCAGTCGAAGGATTGTTGACTCTTTGTCGACTCGCCGAGTTTCGAGAGTCACGCGATATTACACGGGTGTAAACGACTGGCGCGAAATACTCTGTGATACGCGACGCTGCTCCTGGTGCATCGTGGTCGCCTAGTAAACGAGAACCAACAAAGTCTGAGGTCGGGACCATCAACTATATATTGAAGCGCGATGAAAGTGAAAGCGAGTAGATATATGCAGACGCGTTGCAGCACGCGTGAGAAACAGAAATTTCGTGCGTTTTTCAATGTCGTTTTCGCGCATTTTTTTTGGCAATCTCTCCCGAATTATGTACATAAAATTAACTCAGCATAAGTTAATCGAATAATGATCAATTTAACAGAAAAATTTAATTTTCAAATAATTTGTCGCAATTTTTCACGATTATTACAGTGCAATTATCATTACGCATAATTTACTACGTCACAGCCTTCGAATATTTCCTTTCTAGGGTTGTAATGTTCCCTTAGTCTTAGATTTTCTCGTGTTAATAATTTATTTTTATCTATAGATAATCATCTCCGTGAAATATATCTATGACGAAGCTGCGACCCGAAAATAGAGTATCGAACGCCTGTAGCACATTGCTACAATCCTGATGAAGTATTTGCATGCGAGGAGGTGATTTTAGGATAGTGCAAAGAAGCGCATCCTCGATGTGGGATGCACAATCGAAAATTGCGCTCTTCCACGAGCCTCCCTCTTCGTTAGCATTACAAACGGAATTACTCTCCTCCGAGTTAGCAGAGAAACGAGTACATTCTCCGTAAAGCTGTCGGTTTTTTTTTTTTTTTTTTCGGCCGCGCTTGCGTTCGCCGACCACCGCTTCGAGGGGACGGCGTTTATCCGTTTCTCTGTTTCGCGCGTTTCGATGACGCCGCTTTCATTTCGTCTCGCGTCTCGCGTCTCGCCTTCTAGCATCGCAACGTCGGGTGCACGTGCGCATGTCGGCGCTTCTTCAGCATTTGGCGCGTTTTGAATGTTTAAGAGGCGCTTCCCCGAGGTAGTGGGGTGAACGATGCGCAGCGCGGCCACTCCGCATTACTCCCTTTCTACGCGAGCAGCATGATCACGGCGAAGGTGATATGCACCATCGCGGTCGCGTGTGATACCAGAATATTCGCGCGTCTTCGCGACCGCGTAAGATCACGTACACGCGGAGAGGAGACGTATCTTGCACGCCTGCATCTCCGGGCTTCTTCATGCGGCTCTGATAGACGAACGGCTCGTAAGCACTGACCTGCCTCACGTTTTCCGTCCGTCCGACAAGCGTAACCATACGCGTAACCGTCTGCAATCGCGTACTTGATCGATAAACTCTCCGACAGGTTGATTGTTGTTTTTTTTTTTTTGTTTTATGAAAGTGATGATAATTTATCAATTTTACTCCTATCGAGAGATATTTTATGTAAGAGGAAATATTGAAAATTTATTATACGAGAGATCCTACTTTTTCTGTTGTGTATTTAAATATCTTGTATTTCAGCAAATTGTTTAAAGAATATTACAAAGCGTATAAAGTATGAAGATGCGTTTTGAGTATATTCTTTGTGGGTATTTTTAACGCTGCGTGAAGTTGAAGAGCGTGACTTATCACATTTAAGATATTTTTCTCTTTTTCCTTCTTCGACTGACGAAAGTAGCTTAACATACAATACATCGTACGCGATGCTATTTAATGCTCATATGCAGAGGACGCATTAAATGTCAGGAACACATCAGAATGAGTAGGCTGAGATACGGCGGTACATCACGTATGTGTCAAAAAAACTCCAATACTCCTCACATTATCAGTACCTTTTTATGACACCATGATTTATTGCGATATTACATTTGTCATCCGGAGCAAAGGTGGAAATATTCTAATCCATCATATTCAAATAAGTTCTTTCTCCGAAGCAGTAGACGCAGAAGAGAATCAGAATAAAAAATAGAATCACTCAACGGAGAATTACGACGATTAATAATGATTTTAAATGACCATAAGCGAAATGAATACGAGTGTGTGCGAATCTTCATCTGTGTAAGCAAATCGCAGGAAGTACCTTACAAGTGCGCTTCTCGATCGATGAGTCTGGCAAACGTTACTTTCGTATCACGCTAGGCGTGGTTGACAATGCCACCATTTTCAGCGCGGAGACGGAAGACGATTCTGCTATCCTGTTAAGCTAACACCCGCTACGTCCTTTCTGTCGGCCAATTTCTGAGAGAACAAAGGCCACCACCTACCCGTAGTCTCCGATAGCGCATACCGTGACCGGTTAATTACTATGCTGCGATAATTAGCGGCCGAACAATAGAAGCGCGTCACTAGCACAAAGCGGTACCCAGGCGAACAGCCGTATAAAGGAGTTGAACGTAGCCTTGCTGCTCTTTTGTTTCTCCCCCGCGCCTTTGTTCCTCCCTCCGACTTGCCATCGTTCACGATGGTGTGTCCACGAGTCCTTTTCATTGAAAAGATTCGGAGACGTCTTTCTCTCTTAAATCTGTGTAGGAAACTATTTCATTTCCGCTAAAAATTGAAGGAGAAAATTATGGATTTCTTAATCTATCGATTTAGCTTATTATATCTGGTCTTAATAAAAGATACATATTTCCTCGTTTTCAGGTTCCAGAAAGCCTGTGTGAAATATGGAGTACCTGACGTTGATCTCTTCCAAGCTGTCGATCTGGTGGAACGTAAGAATATCGCTCAAGTGACGAACACCATCTTCGCCATCGGACGAACGGTAATTAATTAATATTATCGAAATTTTGTTACTTTTTAGAATACCGAAAAGTTTATGAAGTCCCTAAAATTTAAATATTTAAAAAATTTGATAAATAAATCGATAAATATACAAATTCAAGATTTGTGAATAACGCAAATGTTGTGAAATGTGTATGAAATATATAGTATTCCGTACATATATTGCATTTTTATGTTAAATAAGCTATTAGGAACGAAAATATATATTTTTTGTGTTAAAAATGTCATTTACAGACATATAAGCATCCCGAATGGCGTGGTCCTTGGCTGGGTCCGAAACCAGCGGAGGAGAATAAGAGGTCCTTCACGGAAGAACAACTAAGGGCTGGCGAAGGACTTATTGGTTTGCAAGCTGGTACTAATAAGGGCGCTACTCAAGCTGGACAAAGCTTTGGAGCCACGAGAAAAATACTTCTTGGAAAGTAATTTTAGAATTCATATATTTTTTTATTCTTATATTTTGTTTGCCAAAATGAATATAAGTGACGTAGAATTATATTATTAAAAGTAATATGTTTATAGCCATATGCACAATGCATTTTTAAAAGAACAAATTGTGTTCTACAATTCTTTTACTGTTAAAACCCGTTGATGTATACTGTAATAATAGTGCATAAAAATTAGACGCATTAATTATTTTGCGTTTAGTATATTTACATATAATGTGAATGTAATAAAATATAATAAGTAATACATGTACGAACAATGAGCTAAATTTTTTATATCTATTTTATTGTCATAAAACATGATAACTTGCATGCATGCGGATTTTTCGAAAAATTAATATTATAAGAGAAAACTAATTATTTTTAAAATATAATATGTTGCTATAATTTTGAAAATATTTATAGTTTTAACATCAAACTCCTCATTAAATATGTCTAGGATTCCGCTAACAATCTACTTGACAATTCCCGAGAAAGAATATCGCCACTTTCTTATCGAGCGTTTTATATAACTAACTCTATGCTAGTGTTATCACAGCGTGAGCTAGTTGATTCTATGCTAGATATGAGCTATTCTAGCGCAAAGTTCTAGATCGAGTGTTGCCGCTCTTGCTAGTTTCCTGGCAAGTTACTCGGCTTCCGACAATCGTCTTCTATCGCAAGTTCTGTGTCGGTGCACGGGGCATGACAGGCCTCTAAGGCACTTATACACATCTGTCTGTACGCGTATCACGACATCGCAGACGATGAACATCGCCCGTCGACATACATATCGACGTACGTACGTACGCAGGTGGCGGAGCGCGTATGCGACGGCATCAGCCTTGTACGTGACGGGTACGACGAGTGGGCGTGACGTGTATGTACACGCGTTACACGCATTCCTTGACCGGTTTCTACACCGCGAGGCTCCCCGAGGATCAGGCAAACATCCTAAGGTGGAATATGTTTCACCGATTTCAAATCGTGCTCTGTTTTTCTCCGCTCGCTATCACACCGTCGCGTGTGTGATAATCTTCCGCTGGTTTGCAAGCGACAGATAACAAATGATGATAGCCATGAAACACATTCAGTGCTATTTGCAGTAAGTCACATTGGAGCAGAACACTGTACATAAAATTTATTATATAATATTATTTATAAATATATGAAATTTAGCAAAAAGGGATAGATACATGTTTCTCAAAGTAATTATTGAATATTATAATTATCACTCTTAAGATGTCAATGTTATTGACAAATAACTGATAGTTTGATCAAGTTATGTTAAGAGAGATTCTTAGTTTTCATACTATAATAGTCTATGATAGTTTGTAGTCCTCTAATTATTCGTACATAATTAATGAAAAGAGGAATATGCTTGTTCAAGTTGAATTCAATATAATTGATAAATTAAACGTAACGATATTATATAATTCAATCAGAATAAGCGACGCGGCCAAAATAACGAATAGAAACAAGCATAGGAAAATATATATGATAATCTGATTCACTCTTTTATATTAATTTCGCAAAAATAATACAAAAAAATAGGTGCTACTAACACAAAATATCATTAGATTCTGATATTTATTTCTATTTCTCATATCATGTTTTATCGCGTCGCGTCGGCCCAAGCACGTTGCTCCTCCACGTGCGCAATGACGTGGTTCGGCTGGATCGATCGTAGAATAATTTCACGTAAATTTTACATAAACCGTTTCAAAGGAAACCCACTAGCGCAGGATAGCAGCACGTCGAGGAGACCGTTCACGTTGCTCGTGTAGTCCGGACGCAGCATCAACTTGCTTTCTATAGTCTTATACAATCCTCTTGAAAGGGGAGCGTTGCGGAGTGGCCGCTCCGCGCATCACTGCGCCCCACTATTCTTCCACGCACTCGCAAACCGCGTACATACGAACGCGGCGCGCACTGGAGCTCGACTTGATTGTGCGGTCAACTTATTTTTTGTCGTAAATTTTTTCCTCGTATAGTTGTGTCATCAAATTGTAGATCTGAATGACCTTCGGATTTAATTGTATGCCGGTCTTCTAAGCACGAGTTTTATCGACCACAACGTAGCCTTGACCATCTATTATGCCGATCGTATTTTTAACTCAATATGTGGTTTTTTTTTATCACTTACTTCGTTTGCACACCGTAATAGCTCATATGTCATACAAACATCTTATCGTATAAATCTTTGTGATTTTCTTTGAGATATGTAACGAACAATTCTGATGTTTAATCGTGTGTGATTTGCGATATTATCGTTATATTATCGTGTGAAAAAAATCTGCTTTGCGATTGAAAAAAGTGATAAAAATATCTCGATGCGAGTGAGATATTTTAAAGAAGCTATTTTAGTTACATCGTAGATTCATCGAGATAATTTGAGTGCACGCTGTGTAGGAGACAAACGGCTATGCACATCTCCGAGACACGCGACTCTTTCATGTTCCTGACAACCTATTCACGTGGAGTTCATTGGTACGTTTCCACGGTGCTCCGTGCTGTAGCACCCGATTCGACCGAACGCGAATGACCTATAAATTTGTTATTCTCCTTTCCTCAGTCACGGGGTGACTATCTGAGCGTTCATGATTCCCGTGTAGGTGGCCCGCTACTAGGTGACCGACAAAGTATTTTGCTATCAGCTGGTTGGACAACACCGCAGTGAAGACTTGTCGCGCAAAGCGAAAGCTCGTTATTAAAAAATAATTATAGACAAAACTGATTGAAAAAAATTGTTCACTGGATATAAAAGTTTAATTTTACATAATATTTTTTATAATAATCTCTTTGCATAATAATGCATTTTTATGATATTTGAAATATAGATCAATATCAATTGCATATACAATTGTCGTCTCCATTAGCTTTAACAATCTCTACAATTGATGAGAACGTTTAATTTTTTATTGTACTTTTATTTCTGACAATAGAAAGAAGTGATTTATAGTGTTTTTCAGTTTTAAAGCGCAACTAAAAATATATACGTTGTTAAAAGGCCACTAAGAGTTAACGTGCAATATATTATATGTGCTGAAAGGTTCGATATAATTGACATGAATTTATTGACAGCATATTTTACTAATGATGCGCCACGTGAAACGCGTGCTGCATATTCTATATCTTTCAATTGTGACTGTAGATGCATATGTCAAGGACTCTCGATTGACCCGGATGATTGCACTAATAGAACGATTGATGGTGACTTCGACGGAATGTGAGGAATTTGTGGAACGTGTACCGAGCCTTTTTACATGTTAAAAAGTTAGAATATTGTCAAATTGAAGTATAAGTTTTTATTTAAATAATGTTTTTATGTTTAAATAATATAAAAATAAGACGAGTGTAAAATGTATAATTTTTTACATTTATTGAATGTATTAAAAGTTAAATTTTTTGTTATTAAATATTTATATTTGTTTTTACTCTTCTATTCTCTGATACAGGAAAATTGTAAACTTATGAATCTTAATACATTATATTACAATATAATATATTATAATAATTATATATATATAATTATAAAATACAATAATTATATATATATATAAATGCTCTAACATGTTTTATGTATAAAATAAGTTTTATATAAATAAATAGAAGAAATGTTAGAGCATGGTTTATTTATTTTTATTAAAAAAAACGAAAATATATGCACAATGTAAATTTTTAAACAGTACAAAAACTTTTATTAGTGAATGCATGAGATAGTGAGCAGAAAAATATTTACGAAAGAACATCAACTTTTGAATCAATTAAAATATCTGTAGATAATTATACATGTTAAATATTATACAAAATTTGCGTAACACAATTTATGATAAACATTACATGAGTAATTTGTAGCCAATCTTCTTGCCAAGATGAAATAACATTACACATCAATCTGTCTCTTACGAATATGTTTATCTTCAAATGATTTACACTATTCAAGCCGGCAGCTAATGCTGAGAGCTTCACGCAACCGTAGTTCCGATATAATGTGCTCTATCTTGAGACCATCTATTTTTATACCGGCGGAGCGACTGATCTCGCTGCCATCTGTGAAGCAGCACAAAATGCTTCACGCGGAGCTGATACTTTTGCACGACCTCGACTCTGGATTTGTGTGTTCTAGAAGGAATGGATAGTGGTTTCCGTGATGTGCACGACCGGAGGTACTTTTTTTTACATACGTTTATTACGTCGCACTGATTAATCCGTTTCGGTCGACTCGCTGTCGATTGTCAATTGCTCATTCCGTAGAGATATAACAGTTTTTCCTGTTTCATAATTGTACTGTGTACCAGTGCCATGGAATGTTATTGTCATATATCTTCATTATATTTTGCAGTTTTATTTTTGTACGGTCTTATGAAGAATAAAGAATGATTTCTTCGAAGAGTGATACAGTCAATTTCAAGCTGGAACAAAAGAGACTGATATTCTGCGAAGAAAATGACACACATTTGTTTTTATATTTGAGCAGGTGAATCTATTGCAGTCATTTGGTGGCAAGTCAGTGAGAATATACATTTGACATTTTGTTTATGTGTAGGTAAACGTCGAGTTTAGCCACTCAATTCTTGGAACATATTGTAAAACAGAGAATTCAAGAGAGGAATGCCAGTTGTATCTGGCAGTGGAGTCTTAAACAACATGCCTTCTGTTTGTGGCGATATAGTCGACATGGCTGGTACTTGCACACATTTATCTGTTATTGTCATATTAAGTGTAATAATGCATCGGTATAACACCTGTATAAATATTCTTAACATATAAGAATAACTATGTGCAGCTGCCTCGCAATCATGCATCATGGAAGGCATTTCTAGTACAGACAGTGTTGGAACGCAGAGTGACATATCAGGACACACAACTGTACCAGGAAGACCCAGAATGGATGTGGCCTGTGTCTTGGATTTGCAACAACCAGAACATCTTGTGCAGCGAAAGAAAGCATTAGACGAAGTTAGACAAGCCTGTAATTTGGTCAATGCTAACATCCATCATATTCAGGTATACTTTTGCACTTATTCAAATTGAGTTAATTGCTTAAACTCTAGCAAAAGCCATTTTCTAAAAGAAAAATCAAATTTAATTAACATTGTTTAAGCAATAAAAATGTACAAAAAAGACTAGCAATGCATTGATTTTGCAATATGCTTAAATGAAATTTTCAAAATAAGTTTCTTACATGTCAAAAGTCAATATTAAATATTAAAATACTTACATAATCTGAATAAAACGTTTTTTTTTATAAAGTCACGAACAAATAAGTATAAAAAAATGTCACATTTTTTTGTTCCTTTCTAATTATATACATATTCTTTTTAGTTTGAAAAACTTGATTTTGGTGAAACTAATGTACTGGACACATTTTATAATGCTGATGTGGCAGTTGTGGATTTGAGTATTCAGTTGCAACAATCTGCATTGTTTTATCATCTCGGTGTTAGGGAAAGTTTTGGAATGAAGGAAAACATTTTGCTATATAATGATGTAGATACGGAAGCTACAATTAGACTTAAGGTATGTATATATAATATATACTATATGTATGTATATATAATATATAAAGTATATATATACTAAAGGTATAATATATATTAAATATATCTATGTTCACACAATATTGTTCAGAACATAGATTCAAATCTTGTACATTCATTAGTAAATATAATGTAGTAACACAAATGACCTTGGCCATTTGTTAAACCTAGAATGCGTTTTGTATCAATGATCTCAATTAAAGTTCTTAATAAATAAATTGGTCAGGATGCAGATGATCCACTGTATGCACTATCGCAGCACATATTGAATAGTTTCAATCTTTAGTTTCAATCTTAGTTTCATATATTTTTATGTTCTCAGTAATAATATGCATTTAGATTAGATAGAAATATGGATTTAATAGATTTCCTTCATATGTAAATATTATTTCTATATAAAGTAAAAAATATGATATCTACATTTGGTAAAAATATTCAGTATTTAATGAAGAACTATATTAGTATTTGTTGAAGCAGCAATTTATATGTGAAAATGGACACTAAAGAAAATGGAAACTGAAAAGAAGTAGTACTTTTTATCATGCATTTTGCTTATTTGTTATTACGTCGAGCGGATCAATTTTATGCGTATTGTTTTAAAAGCTGTTTTGAAATTTGATAGTTAATTAACACTTTTTGTAATTTTACTTTTTGTTTTTCGATTTAAATTTTTACCAAACTTTTGTCGTAATTTAATGTTTTTCAAATAAAAACGTGTTGCGCACCGAACGGTACTCTCTGTCAGACTGCCGAGAGCTAAACGTAATCAGCAGGATCAGATGAAACGATATACGTGACAGACAAACACCAAATATGCAATTCCACTCTATATGAAGTAGAAAAACATGAGCTCACGTTCTTAATATAGCAGTTACTGTTTGGTGCTGGTCGATTGCACGCAACTGTACGCAACGTACGCAATCGCTCTCAGAGCGATACTTTGTACGATTTGCTGATACATACGCATTTTATTTCTGTGTTGTGTTCGACTTATAATACGTTACTCTTATAATTATTGAATAATTTGTTATAATTTACGAGCCAAGATGACGGTGATGTTTCAGTGTGTATGTGTGTTTTAAAATCAATATAAAATACGTGAATAATCATGAAACAATAGGTTGTAAATAATAATACTGTGATTTGAATTCAAGATTGCTTAAGTTAGTCAAAATCAATGTTTTCGATAACACACCTATGATATATCATAGAGATATACATATTGATGTTTTCTCTGGTGATTTTTAATCTTATATTTTTCTCACACTATTTGTAAAAATAATTATGTTTAGATTGTATAAAATTAACTTATAAAATATTTTTACAGTTATCTTGTGGCAGCTACACGTTTGTTTCATATCGCGTTGTGGAATCATGTGGCTCATGTGTATCTACTAATCCAGCAACCAGCAGAATTACAGGTGAAGAAGCAATAGATCCCAAACAGCATCTCACTTTGAAACTCAAGAAATTGTTTCAAGATGTGGAAATACAATCCAAGTAAGCAAACGTGCAAATATAAGGTTCTAAAGAATATTAATGTTAAAATGTACACTTTATTTATTTTTATGCCTATGTTATGTTCTAATATAAATAAAAATTAGTCTCTCATCTAGTAGATAAATCTGATTTCTTTATACGTTAATGCAAAATACATTTTTATTAAAAATTCCAGAGCACATATGAAGGAAAAGTTTTTGGCAGATCTGCGCAAAGCGCGTGAGACTTATTCTGGAGAGGAACTCTCTAAAGCTTTAAATAACATGCGCAAACGTTTAGACGATCCAAATGTTTTATCAGGGGAAGTTGTTCTGAATGTTCTCATTTCATTCCGAGAAATACAGGTAAAATAATAATGGATTATACATACATTATCTTACTTTGATATTACGTAAACACATTTTATCTATTCTAAAAATTTAGGGTTATGACGCCATGGTACAATTGGTTGACGATTTGAGGACAATACCAACTCACAAGAATTATATAAATACTCCGGCTATAAGATATTTGTATGCATTTGCTCTAAATCGACGAAACAAGGAGGGCGATCGAGAAAGCGCGTTAAAAGTTATTGAGAAGGCGTTGGAAAAAAAAGAGAACCATGTTCCGGACATGTTGTGTTTATGTGGAAGAATATATAAAGACATATTTGTAGAAAGCAGGCATACAGATGAGGAGAGTTTAAAGAATGCGATCCATTGGTACAGAAAAGGTTTTGAGGTATAGTATTTGCGCATAATAAAACTGTCAATTATTATCGACTGCTGCTTAATACATATATTGTAATATTGTTATTATATTCAGGTTCAACCAAACGAGTATGCTGGCATAAATCTTGCTACTTTATTGGTGATAGCTGGAAATGAATTCTCCAAAAGTGAAGAACTGCAACATATTGGAATGGTGTTAAATAACTTAATTGGCAAGAAAGGCAGCTTACCGAGCCTGAAGGATTATTGGGATGTGGCAACATTTTTCGAAATTAGTGTATTAGCAGAAGATTATTCGAAAGCTATACAAGCAGCTGAATGCATGTTTAAATTGAAGCCGCCAAATTGGTGTGTATACGAGAAATGTAATTGCAAGAGAAAGGGAGTTTTTAGTTCTTAAAAAATATTAAGTACTTACAAAGTTGTTTCAATTGACAGGTACCTGAAATCCACAATAGGCAACATATCACTCATAGATAGGTTTCGCAAAAAGAATGAAGAAGCTGAAATTTCACCGGAGGAGCAAATATTTAGTTTCTGGATGGACTACTTTGTCGAAGCTACAAAGCAGGAAGTTGGCGATAGTATACGGTTTCCAGTAAGTTGATAAATGGAATCGTTCTACCGAGGATCCAGTTTTCAATTCGGGAGACTGTGGCTTATAGTTATGCGTTACCAATCCAGCTAACTTCTATACATTTTGGGTCAAAGTAAGAATAACATAAAATAACTGCATTTTGCGCAGGCTTATGTAGATTCACTCTTGAGAATAAACTTCCCACTTTAATCTATTTTTTTTTTTTTCTTTTTAGCAAAAACGCTTAATGTTAAAAAATGTTTTTATCTGTCAGATTTTAGTATTGGAGCCGACAAAGATCTTGATGCCAAGTTACGTAAACGTGAATCTCGGCGCAGAGGAGAAGTCTATACAAATATGGAATTTGTGCTTGGACAATATGAGAAATAGCTGCAAGCAAGTTCATGATTGGTTATTCACCGCAAGCATGATACGGAGTGTAAGCCTGTATAAAAGGGACGAACGATGCCTTTTTCTGTATGTTCACCAAAACTCGGATGATTTTCAAATATACTTGCCATCGGTACAATGTCGACAAAGGTTTTACGATCTGATCTTAGAAATGACCAGAGATCAAGAAGGCATGGTTACGGACTTGGATGCGTACATGACTGACGATCGCATGAAGGTTTCTATCGACTTTCAATATTCTTTTTATCAATGTGTACGTGTATTATTTTTAAAAACATATTTATACGTACTTATAGTTCGAGTATGAGCTAGATGACCAGAACAAGCGGATAGTTCTCGGTAAAGGTACATATGGCGTGGTGTATGCAGCACGCGATTTAAATACCCAAGTCAGGATCGCGGTGAAAGAAATTCGCGAGCGAAACTTGGGCGATGTACAGCCTCTACACGAAGAGATTAAATTACATAGTCAGTTGAGACATAGAAATATCGTTCAATATTTGGGCTCAGTAAGCGAGGACGGATATTTCAAAATCTTTATGGAACAAGTTCCCGGAGGTAGGAATAAAAATCAAACAACTCTTATAAACGACATTTTTGATATTTTGCAAATATCGATTGCTCAATTTCAGGAAGTTTATCAGCATTGCTAAGATCGAAATGGGGCCCTTTGAAGGAAAACGAATCGACCATCTCATACTATACCAAGCAGATGTTGGAAGGCCTTAAGTATCTCCATGACCAAAAAATAGTTCATAGAGATATAAAAGGTACGTAATTTGCAATAAATAAGTTTTACATTCTCTCGTTAAGATAAATATTATCCATTTTCTCATGCATTTCCGCATAAATAAGTGAACATATGATTCAGGTGATAACGTGTTGGTAAATACGTACAGTGGGGTCGTTAAAATTTCTGATTTTGGCATGTCAAAGCGTTTGGCTGGCTTATGTCCCAGTACAGAAACATTCACCGGGACATTACAGTACATGGCGCCAGAAGTTATTGACAAGGGTCAACGTGGTTATGGTGCGCCTGTGAGTTTATGTTTAGCTTTTAAATACTTTGTTTTGAAAATCTTCACGGAGAAAATAAAGACACATATTTTCTTGGATCATCACAACAACAGTCGTTTTGCTTCTAGGCGGACATTTGGTCTTTGGGTTGCACAATAGTTGAGATGGCAACTGGAAAACCTCCATTCATCGAACTGGGCTCTCCGCAAGCAGCTGTTTTTAAAGTAAATCTAACTTAATATCAAATACGACATATTTCATATATTAAATTGTTAAATTTTGCTAGATCTGACAAGCATATTAATTGTAAAATATTTTTTGTTATAGGTGGGATATTACAAAATACATCCTGAAATACCATCAGAGTTGTCTGAGAGGGCGAAGAATTTTATACTACGCTGTTTTGAACCAAATCCTGATATAAGAGCAACTGCCGCAGAGCTGATGGAAGATCCATTTCTTAATGAGTATATAAACTTAAAGTACAATACTATAAATTTTTTATAAATCATTAAAATTGTATAATAAAACATTTATTTTTCTTAGGAAAAAGAAAAGCAGCAGATTGGTAGCACCACCAGATTTTAGCAGAAGCATATCGGTTCCTGCTGACAGATTGGAACGTTTAGGCAAATGTGATAAAACAAATAATAATCATATTGTTGCTGCCACGCCTATACAAATGTCTCAATCAGACGATAGGTATTATAAAAATTTTTATTTCCATTACAAAATGTGTTTGTGAGTATTTTCGCAATATTAGGAAACAATAAAAAAATAAAGGGACATTTTTAATTGATTTGGGAATCAAAAAAAGTCTCTTTACTTTTTTATTTTTCCTTGTAATTTGTGGCGTTTTTGCCTTTGTCTTGCTATGTGATACTTTCATTCGATTTATTCCATGTTATTAAGCAGTTTTGATGCCAATTTTATGTTTTTTTATGTCGCTGGCTAATTGTCAGATCATCGAAATACCATTTGCAAAATTGATTGCTTTTATACAACAGTAACATCAAGGTATGACAAATTGCAATTGATATTGGTAACAATTTCATATTGATAAATTGCGTATACTTTGCTTAAACTATTGTTTAACATTAAGCATCGATCTTTTTTTACACTAAAACTTTTTATCGAGCTACAAAAGGTGTAATGTACAAGAGTACAGAGAATATTCTTTTATATGAACGCACGTTGCGAATTGTAATTATAAATTGTTAAATTTAGTGGAGGGTTAACGAAGTCAAGTCCGTTGAGAGAACGCAGTCCGGCCCACTTATTGTCTCCTATCAGCATGCCTACTGCAACCCTCTCTTTTAACAGGTATGGTTCTAACTTTGTAAATTGTTTATATGCAAAAAAAAAGTGTAACTGAAGATATAATTTATTTATTGGCAGCATAATTATGGGTAGATGCGTGAAATAAATACAATAAAATTATATACATAATCATTTACTATTAGTTTTAAATGTGCAAAATGCTTAATCTCTGTTTCTCAATAACTTATTTTCCAAAGTGTCTGCAATTATGCTATCATATTGCCCGCATCATTTTACGCTGTTAAATGTTGAATGCTGCATAGTATTTTAGTATATGTATAACCTAGTGAATCCTTTTACATGTAAATCATATTCATTCCTTTATGTTTTGTGCAATTAATGTTAAATTATCGTTTATATTTAATTTATGCAGCTATTAATTAGATTTATAAATGACAGAATCGTATTTACAAATAATAAACATTTTCTATAATATTTATAGTTGATATTACATTTACAAACACTAACATAGTTGCTTTGCCAAATATATATTATGATTATTAAATATAACGAATATGTTACACCGTGTAAATACAGTATATAAACATGTGATTTAATTAACGTCAGTAAAGTAACCCTATGTAATTTATATCTCATATAATCATTGTAGCTTTTTTATATAATTACTTTCAAATAACAATTTATGCTTCATGAGTGGACCATTTCAAATGAATTATCACAGTGAACTTCTAAATATATTAAATATATAGAAAAAACTGTTTTTATGTATTATTCACAATAATACATGTATGTTTTTTATATTATAGGATTCGATACAAAAATAAATTTTTAATTGTGTAGATAATTAGATAAGAAATAATACTAATATGAACTAATA